TAAATGCTTTCTACCATCACATTTGACTCCTGCTTATTCAGGATAAACTATTGTCTGCTGAATTATTTTTATTTTATATTTTTTTCCAGAATGTACATTTGTTATCTTGACAGCTGCAATGTACAGACCTGTGTTATGGAGACAAATTGCAAACAGAATTCTTTCTGTCTTTTAAAATAATTTCAGAGTACAGGAGCATGGAAAATATTTTGTCACTTAATAGAGTTATTTTGCTTGTGTCATGTCTCATTTTGGTTGCTAAAGTAGTACAGTGCTGAATGTTGCAGCACAAAGTATTTAAAATGTCAGTTATTTGTGAGCTGACTGGTCCTTTTAAAATGAAACAGAAGTGGTATCTATTGATACCTTTGATTAAACATTTAAGAGTGTTTTGGAGAGAAATCTTGCAAACTCATAACAGAGTTCAATGTTTTTCCAGGGAAAGTAAAAGAGAAATTTGATTTTTGGAAAGGAAACTATAAGTATGCACAGATAGATGAAAAAATAATTTTGTTTTAAAGGCTAATGTGCATAGGGTGGCAATGAAAATTAAAGATTCATCTTAACTGTAATCATTTTAGAGTGAAGAAAATTTCATTGCCTCTAAAAGAGATCATGTTACCAATTCATAAGTATTGAATTTTTTGGCCTCGAGTTTATGAAGTCCCTAAAATGCTTTAGGGCATTTGGAGACCTTCAGAAAAATAAATTAAACCAGAACACCATTATGTGGAGAAACCTGTGCATCACAGCTCTTGATGCCATTGAAAAAGCAGCTATTAAAACAAAAATACACTTCCTAAAGCACAGCTTGCTGCAAAGATATTGGCATAAAATATAAAACCTGGCATTTTAATTCTTACCAGTAGAAGCACAAAAACGACTTTCAAGATGATGTCTTTCAAATATTGAACAGTGTATTTTGCAACAGTATTTTTAGCTACTGTAGCTTTTGGATTAACAATCTGGTAGAGGTGTCTGATTTTACAAATGAACTCAAAAAATTATTTGTGCAACTTGAATAAGAACATTTGTTCTACTTCTTCTTTAGAGTTAGAAAGAACCCCATCAACTCAACATGTCAAAACATCTGAATTCTGGTGATTCTCTATTAAGTAAGGGGAATGTGTGTAGTTTATAGTTCAATCAGGGAAAATAAAAAGTATAGTGAAATTGTTGAAGGGCACCTAATGTTTTTAAAGAAATGGAAGAAAATTTCAAAACGTTGAGCTACCTTTTCTCCCAGTTAAATTAAAGCATTCAAAGGCTCCTCTGAGAGCTGAAAGAGGAGGGAGAGAGACCTGGTAAAGACAATTCAGAATTTATGTGCTGCAGTGCTCTCTAGAGGTCCTTTTTTTTTCTCCATTGCCTGTAGAAGGAGTCCAGATTTTAACAGTGCTGATTTGAACATCTCAGCTTGGGGCCTCCAATTACAGGGGAAGAGGGGAAAAAACCAAAGGGAGATAAATTTGTGATCCAGCAATTATATATACGGTTACATTTTCAAGGACTCTGTAAGTTGTGCTTGTTTTTTCCTCATGTGAAAACACTGCAAAGTCAAAAATATTGGCATCGAAATGTAAAGCATTGTTTCAGCAGAACAACTGAGGGGAAACAGTAGGCCATGTAATTTTTCTTAAAAATTAGAAAGAAAGGTTTTCCTCTCAGTTCCTTGAGGTTACGAAAAAAAATAGCTTACTTATTTCAGATGCCATTCTGATGTTATTAAACACTTAATAATGCTTTTTTTCTTGAAACAGTGTTCTGTGCATGCAGTACAGTTACTATTTTTACTACAAGTAAATCACCCTCCAAACTCCCTGCCTGTGTGCTCTTTCCTTTCCTTATAATCTGGAGTGGCTTCCTAGAGGGAAGGTGAAGCTTCTCGCTGTTTTTCAGCCCAGAGAAGAAGAGTTTGTGTGAGTTTTAGGACATGCACTTGCATTCTGAGCTAACTTTCCAAAGGTCAAATGCTAATTTGGTTCTGATGTTTAGGAATTGGTGGCACAGGCTTGAGAAGGCTTGGCAGGTGAGCATGTGGTGGGGAAATTAGGACAGGCTTGTCAAGCAGTGCACTTGAAATGAAAGATTAATAAGCCTGTCTTTAGTCAATAAGAGCACCTGGACCAAGCGACCCCCTTCTATTAGTGTCAAAACCTGACTGTTAATTGTTTGTGCTTAAATAAGTTTTGCTATGGCAGTGTTCTTGTGCTAAGCTAAGTTTTTTGTGACAGAATAAGAACTTTAGGTGGTCTGCAGATTATCAGCCCATACAAGGTTACTGTAACATCAGCCTTGATTTGTGGTGACTGCATTAAATTCTATTTATTCTCCTTGCCTCTTCTAATTTCTGCAATTGTTCTATTTAGCTGAGAACTTTGAAGCACGGATAGAATTAAATTTCTTACAAAAGCTATCAGGTGCCCAGTAAGCCTTAGTCATATCTCTAGATTTGCACATTTTACTACCTTTGAAAATTCCCCCAGCTGAGTGTAAAACAATCCAGCATGCTGTGGCTCAACAATGCATGTTAGAGTTTCAAAGTGCACCTCAGATCTTCTCATGTTCGTGCATTTCAGTTTCTAAATCCGTGTGTGCTGAGACATCACAAAAATATTTTCCCGTTTACTTCTGGAAGTTATTTTTGCCTTTTACTCTTGTCTGTCCAAGTCTGGGGCCATGCAGCTACTTGGCACCCTATGGAGAGAGGGAAGGCAGAAATTGCTGTTCTAACAGCTGCCTCGGGTCCCTCAGACATCATCCAACTTGATGTTTTATACAGCAGCAAAGGCAGAGGCTTTGTATACATTGCCATTTTTTTCTTTCATGCAAAATCTTTAATTCAGGTGGAAAGCAAAAAGCTTCCTCAGCAAAACTGATGTCTGCTCCATTTCATTGTCCAGTTCCTATTTCATTGTCTAGTTTCTATTTTTCTAGTTTCTAGTTTAAAACCGTATTAATTCTGTTTCATCTCCTCCTTTGCATTCATGAACTGGCCATTTTTATTAAAAAATATATATATAATGCAGATGTAAACACCTCAGGCTTTTAACATCCAGTTAATCTTATTGACAGCAAAAGGCAGAATTCAGCAGCATGACAGGAAAATCCATTTTGCATCACCAGTTATTATTAGGAAATGCTTTCCTATTCCTGATACGTGACAATGAAAAATCCTCTTTTGAGGGCATTGCTTGACTTCTGATTTAATGTTAATCTTTGTCTAAAAATCCCCAGGTCCTGCCTTGTTTAACCAGGATCATTTATTTAACATCACTACTATTAAGAGGTTGCTTTTGAATATGCAAACCCAGATACTTAGCATTTGCTTTTGTTTGTTTCCACTTCTTCCCCTAATTGTTCTAAAGATTCCACTAAAAAAGAAACTGCTCCCTGGAAGAGTAGAACTATCCCTTTTTCATCCCCTTATTATGCTTCATTTTCAAGAGAAAGCAAAACTATTATAAACTTCTTTCAGCAATGGTACTGTTTTCCAGTGTTATTTCACTTTTGAAAAGCTAGTTCTTAATATTTGAAGAAGTCCCAGTGTGATTAAATAGAATAATGAACAAAGATTAGTGCACAAGTGAAACTCCCAACTCCTCATGATTCATGTTTTTGCTTAATCACAATTTCTTTGACGTATGGAAACTATGTCTCATGGAAATGATTTGATGGATTTAGTTTGACCTCAAAGGGTTTAGGTGGCATCAGTCCCATCCTTTACCCACAAAAAAGCAAAATAAAACAGAAATGGATTTCCAGTATAAATTTCCATACCTTTTCTTACACCAACCACCTACTTGGAGAACTTCATGAAGAAAATAACACAACTTCATTAGAAGAATAACTGCTGTGTAGATGTGGGAAATGTGAGTGGAGCAAAAATGTTTCTACAAAAATGTAGAATAAACCTGCACATTGCAGGCCAGTTCTTGATCAAGCCACAACCAAAAAATTAGCCTTTATTTGGAGAACTGTTCCTTACACATAAATCCCTTCGCACACAAACATGTAGACACGCTCCTGGAAATACTTCAGTGAGTTCTAAGATAGTTACTCAAGACTAAACTTTACTGTAAACTTCTAAGAACAAGATAGAAGAAATAGATATAAATATTCTTGTGAAAGTTTTGTTTTCTCCTTTGGTGGAAATAATAGGCTAGGCCATGTTAGTATCTCTAAATTACCTTCATAGCCCTGGTTTTAGATTGTGTGTTGATACTGAACTCCACCTTTCACTTTGACACCTCGTGTAAGACTTGGCTTAAGCAGGAAAAATGGAGGCTCTTTCTCTGACAGGTAAGGCTAAATTAGGACTCGTGGACTTCTTCATACAGATAGATAAATCTACCCATGTCAGGAGAAGCTTCTCATGTTTCAATTGCTAAAAGATCCTCTGGTAACTCGTGGGAAATATGAAGCTTTTAAATAGAATTCCCAGGAATCCCACTAAGCAGAAGTAGCTGTTTTCAGTTCTATGTTATCCCTGCTCATCAAAGGAAGAGGAAACAATTGTAGAGAAAGGAACTGAGTGTATCAGGAGCCCATTAACTGGCAGATAGTAGACAGAGAGGAATAAGTGTGGAAATTTGTTACAGGGAAAAATAATTTGTGATTTCCCCTTCCTTTGTTTATGCAACATACACGGGATGTTATTTTCTGGATGGAAAACCTCTGGATCATAAAAGCAAAAGCAATCCTGTCTCATGGAGTTTTAAAAAATTATTAGATCTCAAGGGAACAGAAACACATTAAATATTTGTGTGTAGCTGCTAATTCCTAAGACTCATTTCTCTTTACATACCTGATTTTTTCTATCCATACAGACAAACTAAATTTTGACTGATCAGGAAATGTCAGCACTGAAAGTGGTTTCTTTTTCTCCATTCCTAGATCCAGAGTTGACCCTTTTTAAAAATCAGTTTATCTGATCTGTGAATACTTCCAGGTCCATAATGTCAGCTTGCTGATAAAACCTTTCCCCCTAAAATGCCTACCTTTGTGTCAGTCAGTGAGAAACATCTTCCTGGGACAGTTCTTGCTGCTAAGGTAGGAGGACTTTGTGAGGCTCCATAATAGATGAGTGGAGGACTTCCAAGCAGCCATGACTAACTCATGGTCATCTGAAAATAAAATTTTAGTTGTTATTATTATTATTATTATTATTATTTATATTATTTAGAGCAAACAAATCCAACTCTAGGTCTGGAAGGCACTGGATAACTGTGCTCTGCCATACCATCTGCATCTACCTGACTCAGAGGGAGGCCTTGCAGTCAATATTCCTCCTTGAAAGCAGAATTTCCCTATCTGTTGGAAACACTTCCTTTAATCCTATGGCTTGACAGTTGCACAGAGAGCTCTCTAACCTATGTCATTCAGCTGCCAAGGCAGCCTTACTGTTTAGAACTGTGACTAGATGAGACACAAACCCCTTTTTCACTGCGCCAGCCAACTTTGTGCTTTTTAGTTTTATTACATCCATGCTTCTTGTTCTCTTTTTCCAGTGCCTCCTTTCAGACCTCACTATTGCAGGTTCTAATCAAAGTCACTCCTGTGTTCCCTCTTTGACAGAATCATATGACAGGAGAGGCTTTTCCCACTTTTTGACAGCTTAATAATACAAACTGTGAATCCAGAAGAGCTTGTCTGTGTTTTCTGAAATATTCACTGGCACCCAATATGTTCAATATTTGAGATCTCATATCACAAACACTCAAACAATCTGTGGAAGAGACTGGAAATGTATAATAACCATCGTGTTTAAAATACTTTTTATGAGATACTATAAAATTGCCTTTCCTTGAAGTGAGTAATTCATTAGGCAATAAAAGTCAAAGGCAATTTTTTTTCAGAAGCAATTTACTATTTAGCGTATGAAAGAAAAGCAACAGGATTACAACTGCTGTTAATTTTTAGAAGACTATATATTTGAATATTCAATTCATTTTACTGACTATATTGTAATTTCTAAAGAAAACAAAGTATGATTTGGCACCAGTTTTGTAGTGGCACCAGTTTTGTAAGCTACACAAGACCTGCACTTCTGAAAATCTCACTTGCTCAGGTTTGGAGCTTTCCTGTTTGCTGTGTTTCTTGGAGAACACTGACAGAGTGTAGACAGTTCAGCTCACAACAACTCAGCTCAAATAGGTGACAGTGAGGCACTCGTGCATAATCTCAATTCAGTGCTGTATTGCTATTTAATGAGACATAATTAAAGACAAGACTCTGTAAGGGAGATAAAGTACTGCAATGTGCAGCTTGTCTGCACAGTGAGTTGTAGGAAACAAGCATTTACTTACTTTACTTTATTTTCAGTTTTCCAGTCATCATAATGCAAATATAGATGAGCTTAAGGTTTTCCTGCAGAAGAAGTAGCCATAGTGTCAAACATTGTGCTTGTGGAAAACAAGACTAAATTGTTAATAAGGACTATTGTAATACAGTTATTATATTGAATAATTGGTAGTATTTTCATTTAAACAGTGTGTATTAAATAGCATTCACCTGTAAAAAGTAAGCTAAATATTATGCAGTGCAAAGAAGCAGAATGAGGTCTTGCCAAGTGGATGAGTTTTGTCTGTCCATGTGGGATATTTAATTCGATTTTCATCTTTTCTGGAAGCAAATGTATTGTAATCCAAATGACCCCACCTGTAGTATTGACAGCATGAGAGCTGCATCCTTCCATCAGTGAGATGCACAAAGAACTATGGAAGTGTTCTCAGAGTCTGTGGGCCACTCTGAACCAGAGACCACCACTAGAAAAGGAGTGAAGCTTTTTTGTTTGCTTGCTTTCAAATTATTTACTATTTGAGGAAGGTAGAGACATTCAATGGGAGAGGGAGAGAAATGCTGTTGAGAGAAAAAGCTGCTGTAGGAAATGCACATTATAACATCTGGTTTGGCAAACCCGTGTGGCCTGGACAGGCGGTTATCTCGCAGAGCCTCCCTCGCGGCCCTGAGGGAAGCGTGGTTTTTGTTGGTAAACACATGCTCAGAAGTCTGGTGTCAGGTTGTCCATATGGACTGAGGAGTAAGTCTCACAAGACCATATGCAGCTCTTATACTCTTTAGGTAAAGGATGGTAAAGACTGCAGGTGGGATAATGTTCTCCTCTGTGTTCTCTCCCACGGGCAAGACTCGAGGGAAGGGGTTCCCCCTGAATCCAAGCACGGAACTGCACATTGTGCCATCAGGGGAAGAAGGGACTGAGAAATAATGGCAACTGTGCTCTGCTTCTGCAGCCAAAGCATACCCAGAATTCACCAATTCACCAATCAAATGTCCCTCAGTTTTCCATGGAAAATGAGTTCTGTGACCTAGACAGAAATAAAGAGAACACTGTGCATGCATTAGCCCAGCGTGCAACAGTTCAGGCTGCAATAAATTCTGCACTTAAAGAGAAACCGAGTCTGCTGCCGCTCATTAAAGATTCAGACTTGATGCTGGAGCCTGGCATTCATGGAGGCCTTTTTTTTTTTTCCATTTCTTTTTAATATGTAGAAGTGCAAATGGAGGCAGAGCTTTGTGCAGCACTTTCTCAGATTTTATGGAAAGAGAGAGGATGAATAAGCTTATATGGGGCAGATTTATTCCACTGAGAGACACTTGTGTCTTTCTTTTCTGGGCCTACTTCTATGTGGTGTCAAAGAATTTTATACAAACTCTGGTAGGTGAAAATTAACACTGTCTTCAAAAGACTACTCAGAAATGTGAGATCTATTTATATTTGCTACTCATATCTGGGTATAGTATAGTATATTAAATGTGAAATATATAGTAAACAATATAATTAAAAAATTAAATGTGAAAATAAAAAAACAAATAGTCCTTTATTTTTTCCACTTTAGATCCTAGGGATCTTGGATGAAATGATATCTCTAAAATGAAAATATTTGTGAGTTATTTATCAATAAGTTTTAAGACATACCTTTTAAATATGCTATAATGTTTATCATATGTTTTCTTAGCTCATACTACTATTTCCTAAATACAGTCTGTAACTAGAAATGGAACACTTCTTATGTAGGAAATGCTTTTTGGAAGGTATTATTGTGTTTATTTCCAGAAGCAATGAAAATTTCATCACAAAAAGTCCATTTATCTAAACAAGCTCAAAGGACATGACCTTGCAGGTGGATTAAAATCCTCTCTTTGTGTTTCAGAATTCAAGGGGACAAACTGATGTTTCGTAGGCTAGAAACCCATGCAAATGATTTTCTCCATTGTTGATTCTTGGCTAAGGAATCCTGAAAGGAACGTTCTGACTCATGGTGTTTAATCGGCTTTCGGGTCTGTGCTGCTCACCAGCAACAAACATAAAGCTGCAAGAGAAGGGAGCTTGAAAGGGGAAAAGGAAAAAGCATTCCCAAATGTTTCTGAAGCCAGGCCAGTGAAAATCCATCTGGATTATGGATTCATGTGACAGCAGCTCAGTTTTATCCAGGCAGAGCACATGGTGCTTGGTATTCATTAATGATTTTATGACAAATTGGATGTATTTTCATCTGCAGGTAGAAGTACGTCACTGCAGGCTTCATTTGTCAAAAAAAAGCACCTAGTGCAAGAGGATCTAAAATTTAAGCTTGATTTATTTTTCAGGAAGCCTGTGTGCATTTCATTTTCAATGCATTCCTATTTGAAGTGCCACCTCAGGAGACAGGCAGCACCTTTGGGAGCTGCGTTTGCCAACATCTGATCTTACACCAGAGAGCTCAGGTTTTATGTTCATCTTGCATCCTCCAAACACAATATCCTTACTGAATCCCTTAGGAAGGCCTGACTGCTTTTAAACTCAGCATATGGTGATCATGATCAATCAGTAAACTGGTCATGCTGTATCAGGTTAAGCTTGGGATAGTTTTCACATGGAAAGAAATGGCACGTGAGGGCTCATGCTTGTCATGGCGCTGCCGTAGGGAAAGAACTACCTTATGGTCGGTTCATTACTCATGATCTTTGGCTCACAAAGTGAGCAAAGGTATGTCCTGGGCAGTGTTGTGAGAGATTTCACAGCTTATAGCAGAAGGCTCTGGAGCCTGTGGTCTCCCAGCACTCCTGAGCATGCCTGAACAGCAGATATTTGCAGGCTAAAGTAGGACACAGAGTTTTAAATTGCATGGAGTTGTATAGAAAATCAAGAACCTCTTGCATGTATCAAATAAAATAAATTATTAAAAACTGATACTGTTCCTTTCTGTGTGGACTGGAAGGGATATAAGAGAGGGGAATCATACCAGGGGAGCTGCCTGCTCTATCGTGTACAAGAGTATTTGATATCTAAGCAAGACTTACCCCAGTGTTTTGACTTGTTTGATGTCTGAGGAGAGGCAGAAGCTGGAGTAGATGCCCAGTTCCATTAGTAGCACAATCTCTGTAGCTTACTCATCCAAAGGCAGCTGACTGTCTACCCCATCTGAGGGAGAAATTCATCTTGGTGTCATGCAAAATAGTACTTTTCTGAACTGGTTACTTGAAGATATTGCTCTTACCTTTGTTGCTAGTTAAGCCTAATGTAATGATAATAATTACTTCTAGTCAAAGATAAAATATTTATGCATTTTTCGCTTCTTATATAAACCTCACTTACATTGCCTTAACATGACCTAAACCACATCTATGACCAGTCCTTACTGGATTAATTCAGAAGGTAGAATTTTCCTTTAAAATTTTCCATCAGCGAGACACAACCAGGAAAAAATATATTAAGTGAGCTAACACACTCTTTTGTTGTTTCCTCTAGTTTTTGTGTGCTCAGGAGAGTAAATTATTCACCAGCTGGAACTTTGGAATACTCTTGGTAATAAATCTTGTATGACACAGATAGACACATCTCCAAAGTCATAAAAACACAAGACAGGATTATAAACAATTCAATAATCCACCTGATTATTAGGTTTCCAGATAACATTAATTACACAATCCTAAAGTACTGGACTTTACTGTGGATATAAATGTATGAAAAGGGGACTCCAGTAGCTTTTGCATAACGGTTTTTGGAAGGGAAATTTGTGAAAGATAAATTGTTAGTTAGTAAAAAAGGAAGAGAGAGGTTGAGCTTAATTTTACAACTCTTACTCAAGTGGCAAATTGTTATGCATTTGAATACTGTCACTGAATTCACATGTGAATAAAGATACAGAATGTTAGAATTCTGAACTCCTATCTTTCCACTTAAATACTTATGTAAAGAATTACTTGTTACTTGTTACTTGTTAAAACCAGCTTATAACATACTTATGTATTAGATATACCAAGCACTCTTGAGCAAGCCAGAATCCACGTTTGAAGAGTTATGCAGGTGTGTAATTCATTTTAGTATCTCACAAGTAAAATGACAGAGGCTGTTATTATAATGGGAATAGAACAAGAAAAGAGAGCTCATATCCTAAATTGTTCAAATTATAGGTTAAGCAGTTCCTCCAACGTTGCTTGACTGTAGTTGTACTGGTCTAAAGGATGTGGGAAAGACAAAGCTTCTAGATGTTTTTTCTTTTAATATGAATGGTTTCTACTTTAAGTTTATTCCTCTAATTTATCTAATTTATCCTTTTTTTTTTTTTTTTTTGGTTTAGCCTAGAATCCTGCCTGACCTGGAATATTGCACAGAGAGTATCAATGGCTATGAGTCACATTTTGGTTTGAGAATAAAAATAAAATGATGTGAATTAATTTCTTAGGAGCTTTAAAAGACTCAAAGCTGTAAGTTTAAGGGTGATTTTACTGATGTTTAAGGCCATGACTAGAATACCCACTTCTCTGGGTAATGGGTGGAAAGATTCTGTGGATGGTAAATTTGTGAGACGTATGTTCCTTTCTTTTTTCTTTTGTCAAACCTTGGCAGAAACATCCTTTGAAGATGTTAATTTTAAAAGACTGGAAGAATAGAGTCATATATAGATTTTAAATACCGTGATTGCAAGGACAAGGCACCTTCAGGAACTGATCAGCTCACAACGACACAATCAAAAGTGGAGAACATCGGCTTAAATACCTTGACTCTCATGTCCAATGAATATTAATGCCCTCAGAGTGAGGATCAGGACTTGGCTCGATGTACAAAGTCCAGTGTCTGTCCTTAAAGGGTTCCACCTGCTGCCGTTGCCAAGTGGTGCCTCACAAGCCCCCCTTCAAGCTTCAACGTTGTTTTCATTGCTTTGGTTTTGTTTCCCAATTACAAACACGATTTGCAAAATGAATAGAAATCCGAAAGAGGTTTAAGGCTTCCAGGCAAACTCCCCAAAGGCATTTGGCAGCACCGTGCCAGGGCGAGGTCAGAGTGAGAAAAGCACTCTAATTTAAAATTCTTCACTGGTCTCATCCAACAGATAGACAGTGGCTGCTGAAGCTGTGCTTCCAGGGTGATATCCTGCAGAAAGCAATTTAGGTTATTAGCACAGAGAGGACAGAAGAGCAATTTTCCAGCCTATACAGTTAATCAATAGGAAGCTCCCACTTCCTCTGGAGGGAAGGGAGAACAGTGCTTACATGACAATGATTCATAAAACGGCTTGAAAACATTATAATGGTACGAAAAAGGCGTTTGAGAATGGAAAAATTTGAAGAGGAGAGACAGAGATAATTGACACCAAGGGCTCGGGTGGCCACGGATAGCGAGGAAGCCGTCAAGGCCTGCTGCAGATGCCAAAAATGGAGGCCCAGTTCATAAAGATAATGCACACTGCTGACACAGCAAAACCAAATGCCTAACACAGAGATTTGTTTACAATTAATGGACATGTGTGTTTGCCCTAAACTCTTATCCCAATTCCTTTGAAACAGAAAAAGAAAGTACAGTTAAACAGACGACCATCGAACCTTATTGTCACTAGACCAGCACAGTAATGTCTGCCTGCAGGCCACTGTTTTAGAAGCAGTTCATGATGAAATATGGGTTTAGACTTGGGACCTCTGGTTTGTTATCAAGTACTAAAGAACGGTGCAAGTCACCAAGAGTATTTACTTTACACTGATTAACATTTTGCTTATTAAGCTAAATGTAAGTGTGGAATCATTTGCTGTAGTGTTTTTGAGAAGACTTAATAGAAGTGACTTTTAATGGGTAATTCAGAGGCAGTGAGAACTCAGACACTGAATATAACAGACAAGTTGCAAGCGCTTTGTATCAGAGAGTGCCTTTGCTGTCACACAACATCTGTATCCCTGCTCCCCTTTTTGTGCATATTTTCTCTGCAGTAACCCAATTTCCTCAAAAGCAAAACCTCTGTTTGATTCGGGGAAAATTTCACTTAAGGCCTCCCAAAAAACCAGCAGGACAGTTTCCAGAGGAGGAGTCAGGAAACAAAGCTGATGGAAAGCATCATGGAAGGTGGTGTGTGTGTCCCTACAACCCTCAGCACAGGTGGGTGGTTTGCAGCAGCCCTCAGCTCCCATAAAACGTAGGGATTCACTCTCAAAAGGCAGGAGGGACAAGGCCACACTTTTATCTTCCTCTGCCTCCTGCTCTTGTTTATCCCAGCTGACCTCTTTTTATGTTTTTAATTTTAATTTTGCTAAAAAAAAGTATATACTTTTTTGGTGCTAACATCATCCTCAGGACAAGAATAGCAGAAACTGGATATTAGAAAACATATTTTACTAGTTCTATTTTATAGTCATATGATGTTATGCAGACCTAGTTTTACTTTCTTATATGACACCCTGGCTGCACAACTTTAGCCCTGTGACTATGAGGAAGCTTTTTGGTTTTGCCAGCCTGAATAACAGTTTAATGGCACACACCAGTTGTAAAAAAGTTCTTAAACATGAACTGCATTGGAAAAGAAACTGTTAGTGGGACAAAACATTTTCTTTATTACTTATTGATTTTTGTAGCTTGGTTAGATAATTCTTGGGCCTGTTAATTGCACTAAAAAATAGGTCTCTGTACTAGAAAAACCTCTTTTATTATGGTGGACTCCATCAAGCTCCAGAGGAGAAAAAAGAATATTATATTAATGGGAAGAGGTGAATGATTTTGTTTAGAATTAACGTACTTTTAAAGAATTTGAATTAAGCTCCTGCTGCTCCACCTGATTTTCTGCAGTGCTGTACAATCTGATAAGTAAATGCTCAATTTCTCTGTTTCTCTGTGTGTGTTGAATAATCCATGGCCATGTATATAAAAATAACTTGGCATAAAAATAACTGAGTAAATTTCTTACTGACAGTTGTACAGAAACATTTAACCTAAAAGTGATGTTATAATTGCTTCTAATCATAGCAAGTGTCTACTTTTTCTGGACTCCACTGCAAATCTGATCAATGAATAAATATAAATGTAACTATAAATATGACATCCTTATTTACTGATATTTCTGTGCTGAAATTCTATATTCTGGAGATTTTTTTTATATAAGACAATTTGACCTTTATTTTACAGGCTGGGATGGTGGTGTTTGATATCTCTAGGCCCAGTTTAAGTGAATCCTGAAAAATTTTAGACACATCTTCATTTACTGCCTTGACCTGCAGATCTCGTGGTGCCTCATAAAAAAATCCACAGGACTTTAAAGCCAAATAAATACTCTTAATTTATGTTCTACCCCCTAATCAGATCACAGCAGAAGAGTGATATAATGTGGGATTCTCAGTACCTAGTTGTAACTAGGATATTTTTACATTTTCATGTTTCTAACCATTAAAGAAAAAGGGTAGATGGGGAATGTTGGCCTTGAAAAAACAGATATGCTGGGATTTAGCTGTAGTGTTGTCCCAGATGCCCTGCACTGGACTATTCAGTCTTCTAGGATAAAAGTGTTGAAAACCCAGTGCAGTTACAGGGTATCTGCTATGACTTCTAAGCAGCCTGTTACCTTTGTGCTTAATAGTCCAAACAGTACGAAAAGCAAATAGAAATTCTGGATTTAAACTATTATAAAAGTAGTAGCAGCAGGTGCTGTTGTACTATTTGTAGTGGCAGCACTAGTATTTACCTCTCTGGGACATTAGAGACAAGGTAAGCAGCTGAAATCTAAATTAGGAACCCTTATAAAACTGGATTTATAATGTCTGGAGTTATGTATGATAGATCCATCCTTTCACGTGCTGTAAAATTCCCTGCTGGCAGCAAACCAGCTCTGCTGTTTATCTTTCCCTGTCCATGTTTCCCTGCTAGGATTGCCCCGGTATGTAACAGACCTTACAAAGGGAGGGGATGGCATGAAAGTGTCAAATTTAGGATCATTTAAGAAAAAACCTCCCAAACCCCTCATTAAATCCTTCAGAAGTGATGTTTTGGATCCATGAGGTGCATGCACACCCCCCAACTCCTCTCTTGACAGCGGATGAAGAGGACCTAAAGACTCTTGCACTGAATTGAATTACAGCTTGTATCAAATACTAAATGCAAGGTTTTCAAACAGAATATACTTTTTGCAAGGGTTCCTCTATAATAAAAGGAATTGCCAGGTTGCTAGGTTTCCATTCACTCTTCCATGCAATTGTCAGTCAAATGATTGCTTTCTGTAAAAAGTTATAATTATTATAATCAAATACAATTTAAAACTTATGCTAGGTGGGATGATGTTACAATCAGAACCACTCTCTGAGCTACAATAAACTCTTCTGTCAGTCCTTTTCTTATGAAGTCTGGTTTTCACTGGGTTTTTAATTTATTCATGACTGTTTATCCAAACTTCAGATGCACTTGTGCATAAATATAATTAAAACATATTTGTTTTGCATTGAGGAATAAAAAGATAATTGGGAGCGTAATGAGTTGAAGGTCAGAGCAATCACACACATTTTTACTTAGTTCACAGTTCTAATCATAAATATCTTTGCACATGCAGTATTTCCTGCTGCTTTGGCACACTGGCTCACAACATTTTCATTATTCCCTGTTTTCAGTTTATAGTCTCCCTTCATGTATCTATGAAGATTCTCCCAGTGTTTGCAATCAATAGTTGGAGCGAGTTTGTTTGTCTGTTTGTTTGTTAGGGAGCATGGAACATTTGAAGTCCTGCCTTATTCTCCTGTAAGTATATTAATGGGTTGATTGGATAGGGATCCATGGTCTGAGGGGGACTGACAGTTACTCCTCTTCAGTTTTAGCACAGCTCCTGCACATTTGAAAATCACTTGGACCACACAAGGCTGCAAACAATCTGATCTGCTTTGACAAGGTGGCCTCCAGAGAGCCAACCCTATTTCTCCTGCTACTTTGTGGTTCTGTTCTATCACACCTCATATCATCAAGAAACCCCTTGTGTTAGAAGGAATGTTGGTAACAATTAATATGCAATTCTCAGCTTGTAAATTCCTCTGTACCCATGCTGCCAGAAAAAGAACAGATGTTTGTGTTATCACAGCTGAAAGCTGAGCTGCTCAATGAACAACAAAAAGCAAATCATTATGTTACAATCCTTAATTTATAATACAAATCAAGCACTAGAGAAGTAAAAATTGTTTGGCATTTAATATCGTGTTATGTTTTTACTGCAGTCTAGAAGAGCAAATGCTACAGAAACACCATTTTTAAGGTGTGTAAGCAGTCCAGGTACCAGAGGTCCTGCTATCTGATGTTTTGGCCACACACATCCTGAAAGGGGCATATTGTTCCTATGCAGAATCTGTAAAGGACAGAGGGGAAATAGATTTACTCTTAAAAGTTAATTTAATTCTGGTAAACCACCCATTCCATCTGTCAGCAGGAATATGGTGTTCTGTGATACCACAAAAACCGTGTAAAAATTAAAATACGCTCTTGAAAATTGCATTAAGCTGATGCTTGAAAGGTGAGATTCCCTCCATCTGTGTGTGATGCTGGAGTAATCAGGCTCTGTGGTACCTACTCCAAACCCATGGCACATTCTAGTGCACACAACATGACTCCAAACTATAAAAGGAAGTGATTTAACACCTGAAAAGAACCGTTGCAAAGTATGGAATTGTTTATTTAGATGTACCTCTTGTACCCTCTCACATTAACTGAGTCCATCAGTTGGGGACTTGACTACAGAGAGATTTGGGCAGAATGTCTAAAACCAAGTGATTCAGCACTAAGGCTTCACTGCTTTCTGGGTATCTGACTGTCTTTTGCAAATGGAACTTAAGTACATTACAACACTGATTTCTCAAAGGCAGCATGGGAATGATAAAATAAGGAGCTAAACTTGGATCTCCTGCAACCCCAGCAGTTCTCTACCAACCCAACGTTTGCTAGTGAATAAGAATCAAAAGATGAAGGAAACTAGCACTTCTGGATATAACTGCAACGAGGAGAATATAAGAATTAAATAAATCACAGATATAGTGAAAACTAGACCACATTTTTTTGAATTATTTTCTATTTTATCACCGAAAAGTTCTAGTAGTGATCGAAATAAAGAAATAAAAGTTTACACTGTTTCTTGCTTTGTATGAACTGTTTCATTGATTGCAAGGCTCTAGAAATGAAAAATTGGTTTGTTCACCGTAACATTTTCAATGAATCATATTTAAGGTGACACTGTGCTATTATACTACAAAGTCATGTAGTAGAGAAACATAATGACCTCTCTGGTAATCTTACAGTTTTCAATGGAGTATCCTCATACAGCAGTGATTTGATATTTTGCAGTTTTAAAATGTAATTGAAAGCATTTTTATTGGATACATTCTCATTACACAGCACACAGCCTTCATTTGACAAAGCTGTTTAACAGCAGATTGAAAATGAATGATCAGTTAGAAGGGAAAAAAACACTGATGAAAAAGGGAAAATAAAAAGCTTGGCAAAATTTTAATCACCGTAAATTTTGCGATAATGACATTGCTCTTCAAGGTATTCTGATTTTTTTCTTTGCCAGCACTCAGAACTCTCTGTGTTCCATTAAACGCTTCACTGCAGCCTTGCAAGGGTTCTCAAATGTAACCTGGCAATTCACTCAACCCACACTGAAACAGCAGCACTGGCTCCCTTTCCCTGGCTGCTCCCACATTTCTCCTTTTCCTTATATATGTTTTCCTTCCCCACCAGCTCATTTGCTGTCAGTTCTGAGCAGCTTTAGAAGTACTTACAGACAACAGGTAGAAGTTCAGCTGTCTTTCTGTTTTGCCAGTCTTTGCATCTCTTACTTCTTGTCATTTTTCCTCATGCCTTTCAGCTTTCCTGATTCCAAAAAAAGAAGCTGGCACCAGTTTTGTGCCAACTCACACGAGTGAAGTGGAAGTTACGTGTCCCATAATTAAGGGTGATGTGCATTTCGAACTTGAGAAGTTGGCCTAATGTCATAAGAACCAGCTGGGTTTGATAACTGGCTGTGTACTGTGATCCATTTATCTGACTCAAATAGAAGAGAATGATGCCAATAATTCAAAATAGAAAACTCTTAAACTGCATATTTTTTCTAGTAGAATAACAAACTACCATAGATAAGAACCCTGCAAGAGGGATCAAAAATAAACTTATTAGGAGTTTATGCTTCATTTTTTTCCTAAACTGTTTCTAGGATAAGACTTTTGTTTCCATGCTAAAGCAAGTGATAGGAATTTTGAATTCTTGTTTTGCTAATCTCTAGATGTTAAATGTCCCTCAGTTTTGTTAATTTGTTTCTGCACTTCCCCTGAGACAATTCCAATTTCCACAAGCCTGCTTTTATACTGATTGATTCAGAGACAATAGACTGAAAAGGTATAAAACCAAACAGCTTATAATAGAAAAGTAACTTTGGCTGCTGTAATTAAAGGCAACCTTCTCTCACTTAGCAATAAACTACATTTAGATTTTGTCAGTAATTGGCAAACAAATGATCAAACAATATTACACATTCTGCACTTCAAGTTTCAGGTCTCATCTGCTCTAGAAAACCTCTCTGTCTTATCTGATGCAGTGATAATGAACAGATATAGGGTGTTGGGAAGCAGAAGGAAAAGAACCCAAACCATGTATCATATAGAAATTCTTCTGCTTATTTGAGCAAGAGAAATGTAGACAATGCCTCAGTCCTGATTTCAAGTTTAATTTTTTCTTTTTCAGTACCTGTAACTTCCTCTCATGCACTTCTCATTTTCTTCTTGTTCCCTGAAATTGTTGTAGTCACCCACAGTCTCCCGTGGTCTGAATGTTCCTGCTCTGTATCCCTTTTTTATTTGATCTGGGTATATTTTTTCCATTAATTCTTTCATTGCTGCAGTGTCATGGTTTGGGCTGGAACTGCAGAAGTCTTCAGAAATGCCTCATCAGGAAACTGTAGCCCTCCCAATTTCATTAATGAGCACAAGTGTCAAATATTAGTTTTCCTATTATATTCCTTTCTGATGTTCCAAATAGTAAAAAATATAATGCAATTAATCTAGTTCTTTCAGCTTTTAAAGCAGAAAAATTGGTAATAAATAATTCATGATGACTTCCTTTGAAATTTCTTTTCCTTCTTTTTTTAATGGTTCATTTAAGGGAGCAGAGATAAAGTAAAAACATGAGCTGTAGAAAACACAGCACTGGAGGATATAACTGCACAAATATCATATGATGGTCTCCATCCTCAGCACTTCTTTGTAGGAAATATGTGGATTAATTTAGGCCAGTAATTAAGACAACAGATCAGAACTCCCTGCCTAGATAATGGCTGGGACATTATTATGGAGGGTTACTACTGACTCATGGAAGGGTTTGCTTAAAACTGACATTTGCCAAACAGCCAAATTCTAGAATTCACTTACATGCCAGGTTTCCTGGAGATCCCAGTGCAGAGCCAAACAGTGTTGAAATCTGTATCTCGTTGTGTCAGATGTAATTCTCTGTAAAGGCAATAGTGAAGGATTCAGAGAAAGCCTCACTACAATGGGACAGAAAAACAGCTGTATGGATCTTGAGATTCCGTGTTTGGGAAATAAAAGTTATGTCGTAATTCTAAGAAGCAATATCTGATATCTTCACTAAAACCTGGCTGATCTTCTTTGATTTTTTTTAATTGAATGTTTTTGCTAATACAGGAATACATTTGAACAGAAGAAAACATTGGAAAACAAGGAAAAGGTAAAGCAGGAGAGGGTAAAAAAAGAGAAAAAAATGGGAAAATATAACAGAAGTAGATTTAAACTTTGGAAATTTGCAGGTTTTTGGCTTTGATGCAACAGGTCAGTATGAGAAGGAATATGGCAACTGAAATAATATCTAGAGAAACAGCAATGAAAGATGATGATCACTGAGGCAGATTTAGGAGATTTCTACTGCTATTTAAGAATATTAAGAATTAATTTGTTATCGGAAACCTGTGCATGATCCTTATTTTGTTTCCACAGTGTAAAATGACTTGCTGCAATAGAGCATTTCAATCTGCAGCATGGATTTATCAGCATAACCACTGCTGAACTCCAGCTTGGCAATCCTAGCTTTCTTTCCAAATATATATTACAAAATTATTTATATAGAAATATATAAGTTTTCGACATGTGCTCGCTCTGATTTTCCCATCCAAGCCATTTCAAAAAATACCCTCTCCCTTTTCAAAAAGATACCAGTAAATGCAGAAAGTGAAAGCGATGCAGAATGTTTGACAAGACTTGATCTGAATTCAAAGGCTACTGCTGAGTATTTAGGAGGAATCGTTAAGGTTTATTAATTTCTGGGGTATTTGCTGTCTGGAACAAGAAATTCTCAGGACATGAGGTGACAGCCCTGCTGTGGCAGCATTACCAATGTGCTTTCAGCACCAGTTTCATGGATAGATGCTCTTGCAGCTTCTATTTTCTGTCCTCATGCATTTTTTTCCCTCCCCAATCTGTTGCAAGGGAGAGAAGTGCAGTGATAAATGGCACACAGTGGCATAAACATAACCAGGGGCTGACAAGGATACCCTTGGAAGGCTGTGGCATAAGTTACACCTTTTCCATAAAGCCTTAGTATATGATCTGATGTCCTCTGCTCTGTGCAGGTCCAGGCTGTTCCATAAATAATGTGAATTCCCTCAGTCAGAGGCACACAAATAGTATGTTACACCTATGCAAGGAGCAAATGATTTTTTGAAAAATTGGGCTCTTAAACTGTATTATGGATAACAATTCTCACCATCGTCGTTCATCCATCCAGATAAAATGGTACCTATTTCCTCCTTAAATGTCAAATATGTAATATGTATTTTGAAATAGAAAGGATACCTTAGGGTACATGCTAATGTACTTCCTTCAATTACATTTTATGATTATGACCTTTATTCCAACAATAATTTAATGTTTTAATTAAATTTGCAACCATTTTCATTGCTGCAAGATGTCCTTCATCTCTCTGTACTGTAATTTAATGAAGTGATTTTCAATCACAATCAGCAATATCTAACAATAAATTTTAATACCATTTCTCATGAGTCTAAGAGGATCTTTCATGTTTTAAAGCAAACTTCATATCAGTGCCATGGCAAGGAATAATTCCAACCTTTACTGTAAGCATAGAATACACATTTTCAGGTTTTTCAGCCAGATCTTGGGATGTGGAATAATCAATGTTTATTCCAAAAAGAGACTTCTAATAAAAGAGGGCCTTTAATTAAGAAAGAGAAAAAAATAAATAATGAAACTGTTCCAAAAGGGATAGCACCATGGTAAAGAATGAAAAAATGTCCATTAGTAATCACGATGTCTCTTAATTTTGATTTATGGATTTTTTTTTAATTAAAATTTCAATGCAGGTCAATAACTGGCAACAAAGGTGTACAGAAAAGGGGAAAAGATCACCAGGAAAAAAGGGTCAGAATATTTAATTTGGAAGAATAAAATAAACTACTGCTGCATCTTCTTTCTATAACAGCAGCAACTCATGAATTTTGCACATTTTTGGTATTAGGGGAGTAAGCACAGCAGCAGAAACAGAAAAAACACTTTAAGTATTAAGTCATCAAAAAAACCGAAACAGGTTTTTTGTCTCTTTCTTGCACATGAATTTAAAGTTTCTTGGAAGCACATAATAGTCTTGCCCCCTTTTTTTGGTATTTTAACAAAAATGATTGCAGGGAAAATCAGGGAAATCTGAGCTGGTTTTTAACTTGGAAAATACATTGCCTTGAAAAAAAAAAAAAGAGAGAGAAATACTGAGAACACCTAAATGTGAGGAAATGTTGGAAGGATCTGATAACACAGAGTTTTAAATTATAGTACCAGTGCCAGTGCTGAAGCCAAACCTCCCAGGAGCTGGTTTCAGGACACGTCTATACATCGGGGCACGAGAACATCTCTGGTCTTGGGCCTGGAGATGGTGGTCAAAATCACCTGGAAGCAGCTAAATTAAAGAATTGCAGCATTTGCATTGGTAAGATGAAAGAGGGAGGTTTTCTGAAGGCAGAAAGCTGAAGTGCTGAATGGAAATGAGAAGGTTCCACAGAAGGGAAGGTGTAAAGCAGGAACACGATGGCACATGTGGTGACAGTAAAAAATCTGGGTTGCAATGATGATGAACAGAACTGAAGCAGAATGTCTGTACTGATACAGGCTGAAGAGATGCCAAGAAATAAAACCTGGATTTTGACAAAATATAATGAGCCTTGTAACGCAATGAGCCCTATATAATGTCAAGTAATTTAATTTTCTTTACTGCATTCTTTGAAGCCTTATGTAGAACAAAGGTACCTTCTACCATGGATCTCTCAAATCCCTGTTTCTTGGAAGGTGGTGAGTAAATTTTATTAGTTACATCAGTGTAACTTGAATTTATACTACAGTGATATGCTATGGGAACCTCTGGGGTGAATTTATACAAATTGACTTACCTGGGTAATAGGAGAAAAGCTAGAAATTACTTAATTCAGTTGTATCCTCTGCAGACCAAAAGCAATCAGGAACATACCTAAACAGAATTATTAACTCCTGAATGTTCTCTGCTCATCTCATGTGGTCATTGGGTTCAGTGCAATTATTATTTCCAGGCATAAGTTGGTAATGAGTGAACAGGAATAATTACTGTTGTGCTTTAACAGTTTCAACCGAGCTCAAAATTCGGTCTCTCGGCAGCAGGGAAATGTCTTGTTTTCAAGTGGTTTTGAGATGCATCTGTACTTGTTACCAAATGATCCTCACAGCATAAGGGCTTTTTTCCCCCCACTTCTACTGCTTCTTAATTTTAAAATGTATGTAGTGTACATGCAGACTCCTTTGGTAAAGAACAGGAGTGATTTATCGACTCTCTATCGCCTGAGCAGCTTGTCTTTTCTAATTCCATGAGGTGTAAGTCCCACTTTTAACAAAACAGCAGGACATTTTTCTGGACAGACTCAAACAGCAGTTTATTTTGCTTGTTTTTTGTGCAAACAATAGACAATATTTTTGTCCTAAGGGTAGGTTTTATGTTTGATTTCTGCTGCCTGTAGTTGTGAAATCCTCCAGAGAACCATTTATATAAGACAAAAATTGATTCTCAGAAAATATATCAGAAATGCCAGTGTAAGGAGAATGCATAATCTAGTGTATGAAAAGCATAAAATATATCAGCTACTTTGTATCAAATATTGGCATTAAAACTATTGTTTTTAAAGTATTCATCTGTATCTCTCAGTTTAGAATGAGTCAGTGACCTCTGCATTAAAAGCCTTGTTTAGCAAGATCATCGATATTTATTGAAAAGTTCAATTAAAAAATACAGAACAAAAGAAATGAAAAGCCTGCTATAACGATAATCCTGCTAGAATTCTGAGTGCTGTAAAACAGCTTTACTTGTTTAATGTAGTTGTTGATGTGGGATTGAGAAGGTGAGTAAAAATGTTCTAAAATATTTACTTTAAAGGGCTTATCTATCATTTATTTCCACACCTCAGTTTTTCCATATCTGAAATGGTAAAATTAATGGAATTGGGATGTTAAAATGATCAGATTATCTGCTTTAGACAGTTCAGAGATGACTACAAGTTGTGAGAAACATCTGGGCAGATCTCTCCCAGCTGAGATGGAATCTTTTACTTCCTCTTGAACTCTGACCATAAATACAGATGTTACTGGCTGAGATTAAACAGGAGAAACATTTTAATACTCCAAACTCTTTCAAGTACAAAGGCCAGACCTGGTAGTCAGGAATCATGTTCCCAGCCTGCCTTCTGCTCTAAACCAAGCTTTTACACCGGGTACTTATGGGATATCCTTCAAAATTAAGGTCAAGCTAATTAATTTAGAGCATTTTATGACAACCAAATTAACGTTAAATGAGTTAATCGTGATTAATGTTGTTACTGAACAATTAAACCTGATAGGATCATTCTTTTAAGACTTGGTTCAGTTTAGAGTTACCTCATAGTATGAGCAGATGTGTTTCTGAGCTAAAAATACATTTCATCAGTAGAAGCAACGAGTTTTGTGAGAAGTGGTACTTAAACCCTCAGATATTTATAAGCAGCAAAAAGTTTCTGAAGCTCAATAGGTTTTCTGCTCTTTGTAGTAATCCCCTTTTAACAGATAAACTTGGAAATCCTAATCCCAGTCTCTTCTTGCACAGGTTTCTTACAACTGAAATGTATTTATTGATTTTGGTTGAGTTGCTTCTCACCTAACTGGGGACAGAACAAACTTCACGGTTTGCATTTAAAGTCAAAATACGTCAGAGTTTTGAGGTTTTAAAAGAATTTTTTCTTTTTAAAGAATTAACTTCAAAAATCTGGGAGAAAATGATACGTCTAGTTGTGATAACTAGATATAATTTATGACTCACATTTCTTAATTAGACTTAGTGAAATCAGCGACGTGTAAAACATTTACTAGAAATCTGTCTGCAAGGTGTTAGTGTTGGTACCAAGATCAATGCACAAATCTGAAAGCCTATATTT